TGGGAAACCTAAAATGGAAAAGAAGAGGGGTTAGAATTTTAACCATCGTCACAACTGTCTATTGAATATTTTAAAAATTTAACCATGTTTTGATTGAAAAAGGAGATGCTGATAATCCTCAAAACATTCAGTCACTGAGGATATGAGCCTCCAGCATAAAATGGTGTACAAACTCAACGTTCTACACTATATATAATTCATACTATATTGATTTGTGGTTGTGTTGGTTTGAAACAGAAGGGGGAAAAGTTGGATGTGATCTTGGTTTATGATCTATAAATGAAACTCTTGAATTAGTATTCATAATCAGGAAATGCAAGCTATTTAATTATACAGAATGTATGTGTGGCTGATAGGAACATCCATGATAGCTATATTTACACCCACATAAAAGAACATTGGTGTGTGTGTGTTTTCTAAATTCTTTACAACATCGCTGTGAGTTAGTAAAGGTTTTGCAATATTTGTCCCAAATATTGCTTTCAACTACCACATCTGCCTTAACTGTATTTATGGAAGACTTTCGGCAGTGTGTTTCATTGTATCACAATCAATGGGTACAATAGATTTTGCTTGTTTCATAGTCTACAACTGAGCTTCATACAAAGGAGTGTAGATAAACTTGCAAAAATGTAGTTACTCTAGGCAGATTGTTCTACTTACATGCCCTTGGCACATAAAACAGTTGAAGAAAATATAGCTTTTAAACTATAAAAAAACCCAAAGACATGAAGTTTCTACTCCACTTATTATGTTTAGCACTGGCTCCTGTGGTCTGTTGTGGAGTCCCTTTAGCATGACCCTAGTGAATAAGTTTTAGGTCAATATCTGGAAGCAGTTATTTTGCAAACTTCTCATTAGGCCCCTGACTATTTGCCATTCCACAGAGCAATGTTAACATAGAAGAAATTCACTATGCAATGGTAAGCAGTTACCATTAGGCATGGCAAAGGATTCCACAATAGGGGGTAGACTATGGGTTAGCATTAAACAGCAGGAAACTGTTAGTTGTTTCTGTTATTATTCACTGAGTATTATTAGTAGTATTTTATATATCTATCAATTGGGAAACATTATGGATTTTCTGCCTTGGACACCTTAATTTTGGGGGCATCTTTGGTGATTAACCACCTTTAATATTGCAGTGTTTGCACTTCCAGTAATTCCAACATCAAAATTTCAGCTTTAAAAATAGGAGAATCATCAGTACACGCATGCCAGAGGAGAAATGAATTTAAGTATCAGAAACATATAATTCTGTGTTAAATGAAATTTCAGATTTCTGTTAATGTCACAGTGCAAGGTGAAATGTTTTCTGCAGAAGGGCCATCTCATTAAAGAATCAGGTGCTTTTTCAGTAAGTCTACTTCCTCGTACAAACTTCAGAAATTATGATGTCTGCCAAAGAGATTATTTGAAAACCCTGTGAGGGTGTGAAGGGAAAGGGAAGCAAACCAACACCACACTCTGGTTCTCTCGCTCTCTTTTAAAAATTGGGTGGTAGCAACAATTCTTTCCCCTAGTAAATTAGAACTGAAAGATGCTGACAAGATGCACACATTTCAGGTGCCAGAGTCAAGAGAACAGATGTTACACAGAAATTGAACTCAGAAAACAACCATTAACAATCCTAAATCTGATTTAGAAGGGTAGACATTGAGCTATACACCGGCCCTCCTCTTGTGTGGCATTTCCTGTTATTATGCCAATCAATAAATCAATTATGATGTGATATAGAGCTGGAGTATTAAATCAAAATCTATATTATTTATACCAATAATTTAAGGTTGCATTGGACTCTTTTCTAGTATCTGAAGCCACTGTCATTTTTGGCAATGATTTACTGAAATGCACGAAGGTGGTTTGTTTGTTTTTTACAAGCAGCATTGAAGCAACTCTGGGAAGAGATGGAATGCCTGAATGACAGCAGCTGCTGGAAACTGAGATACGTGCACTCTAGTGGACAAGGCTCCGGGCTATCCCTCTTCTTCTCTTCCCTTGGCTGGTTGTACTGTCAATTTCGGTGCAAAAGAAGTCTAAAGCCCAGTCCCTTTGCTTTACTTCCCATAAGAACACATAGGAAACTTCTAAAATTGCAAGAAGAATCCATCATTCACTAGGCAACTTTAGATAGACTGTTTTGTTTGTTCTCCTCACCCCCTCACCCCAAAACCACACACAGTGCAAGAGAACCATGAGGGTGACTCTCTTGATGTGTCTGAAAACAAAACCTATAATTTAAACAAGATATTGGGGGCGGAGTGCCAAAAATGAACTAGAGTCAGGCAGCCACCTCAGGCAGCTGATCTTGGGTAATATGAAAGGGCAGCAAATTTTCGACGTTGACGATAATGGTATCCAATGCACTCATTACTCTAGTGCAATGATTTGCTCTCCTGCAGGGGAACGTTCCTTCCTCTCCTCCCCAGTTCTGCTCCAGAAAGTTGGGGGAAAACCCAGAAAACCTTTGCAGGGGTTGGGGAGGAGACAAAAGAAAGTTCCATTCTGCAAGCATAAATCCTAACATCAAGGATCACGAAAACCCATGTGCAATTTTGCAACTGGCTTCATCCCCACCTGCTGCCATTTTGTGACAGGTGGGCCTCAGTCATTCTCAGCAATCTCAAGTGGAAACAGCAGGCAGAAAGTATGGGAACTTCTGGAAGTTAGAAATTTAAATAACAAAACAAAGGGACTTCCCAAAATACCAACAAAGCCTGGAGCAGTTGAGTTCACAGTAGAGGTAAGAGCAAATGCTATAGGTGGGAGCCAGCCAACAGGGAAATCAGGAAGAAACCCATCCGTTGCTTCCTACCATAGCAGTCCTGGAATGAAGAGCCAGGGTTGCATTCTCAACTGCTTCATTCTTCTTTTTTTTTTTTTTAAAGCAATTTATTGGGTTTTACAATAGGAATAAATGTAATAAACAATATAGCATTCGTCTTAACATAATTTCACATTTTCTTTGGACTTCCTCACATCTCCCGCTCCCACCTTCATCATTATAACATTTTGTCAGCAATTTATCATCTTATTTAAATTCTTATATCTCTTCGATATTTCATAATCTTAAAGTTCTCATAAAGAGTTAAACTTTCACAACTTTTCTTGTTTCCTTAAAAATTTCTAAGTTAAGTGGTGCTCAGTTATTTAGTCCAGCATCTTATTCAGCATTCAATCAAATCACAATGTTTTTGTAGGTAGTTCTTAAATTTCTTCCAGTCCTCCTCGATTCTCTCTTCTCCCAGGTCACGGATTCTGCCAGTCATTTCAGCCAGTTGCATATAGTCTATCAGTTGCATCTGCCATTCTTCCAGTGTGGGTAGATCTTGGGTTTTCCAATGTTTTGCGAGTAGTATCCTTGCTGCTGTTGTTGCATACATAAAAAATGTCTGGTCCTTCTTTGCCACCCCTTGGCTGACAATACCCAAAAGGAAGGCCTCTGGTTTCTTAGTGAAAGTATATTTAAATACCTTTTTCAATTCATTATAAATCATTTCCCAGAACGCCTTCACTTTAGGGCATGTCCACCAGAGGTGAAAGAACGTTCCTTCACACTCTTTGCATTTCCAGCACTTGTTATCAGACAGGTGGTAAATTTTTGCGAGTTTGACTGGGGTCATATACCATCTATAAATCATTTTCATTACATTTTCTTTCAAAGCATTACATGCAGTAAATTTCAATCCATTACTCCACAGCCTTTCCCAGTCCTCAAACATAATATTATACCCAATATCCTGTGCCCACCTTATCATAGCCGATTTAACCATTTCATCTTGTGTATTCCATTCCAACAGCAAGTTATACATCCTTGAAAGTATCTTAGTCTTTGGTTCTAACAATTCTGTTTCTAATTTCGATTTCTCCACCTGGAACCCTAGTTTCTTATCACTTTTAAAAACTTCTTTAATCTGGGCATAGTGTAACCAATCTCGCACTTTGTCTTTCATTTTCTCCAAGCTCTGCAATTTCCAATTGTCTCCATCTTTATCTAGTATTACCCAATATTTTGGCCATTTGGCCTCCATATTGGGTCTTGTTCGGGCCTTAGCTTCCAAAGGTGAAAGCCACCTTGGTGTTTTATTTTCCAGCAAGTCTTTATATTTTGTCCAGACATTAAACAGTGATTTTCTAACAATATGGTTCTTAAAGGCCTTATTTGCTTTAACTTTGTCATACCATAAATATGCATGCCATCCAAAAACATTGTTAAACCCCTCCAAATCTAACACATCAGTGTCTTCAAGAAGTAGCCAGTCTTTTAGCCAGCAGAACGCTGCGGCTTCATAGTACAACTTTAAGTCCGGCAGGGCAAAGCCCCCTCTTTGTTTTGCATCGGTTAGTATCTTAAACTTAATTCTGGGCTTTTTGCCCTGCCAGACAAACTTCGAAATGTCTCTCTGCCACTTCTGAAAGCACTCCATTTTGTCCAATACCTGCAGTGTTTGAAATAAAAACAACATTCTTGGCAATACATTCATCTTAATCGCAGCAATTCGGCCTAACAAAGAAAGTTTCAATTTTGACCAACTGTCTAAGTCTCTCTTAATTTCTGTCCAACATTTTTCATAATTATCCTTAAATAGACTTAGATTTTTGCTGTTATGTTTACCCCTAGGTATTTTACTTTTTAACCACATTAAGTTCCGTCTCATTCTGAAACCGTTCTGACTCTGTCTCAGTCAGATTTTTCCCCAAAACCTTAGTTTTCTGTTTGTTTAATTTAAATCCCGCCACCCGACCAAAATCATTAATCAATTGTAATACTCTTTTCGTACTAGGCTCTGGCTTCTGCAAGGTCAAAACCAGGTCATCTGCAAAAGCTTTTAATTTATATTGTTTCTGACCAACCTGAATTCCTTCCACCAGCTGGTCCCCTCTAATCATGTTCAATAGCACTTCCAGGACCGAAATAAATAACAAAGGGGAAATAGGGCAACCTTGTCGTGTCCCTTTTTCAATTTTGAACTCTTCTGTAACCACATTATTAACTATCAGTTTTGCTTTCTGTTCTGAATATATCGCCTCAATCCCATTCTCAAAACCCCGTCCCACTCCCATCTCTTTTAAGTTTCCCATCATAAATTTCCAAGAAATGTTATCAAAGGCCTTCTCCGCATCTATAAAAATTAAAACAGCTTTTGTATTTATGTCAGTTTGGAGAAGTTCCAAAATATCAATAATGTTCCTTGTGTTAGCAAACAAATGTCTACCTGGGAGAAAACCGGCCTGGTCCTTATGAATTACTTCATTTAAAACTTTTTAAATCTACTTGCCAAAATATTTGCAGATATTTTGTAATCCACATTTAAAAGGGAGATGGGACGGTAGTTCTTCAGTTGTGTCTTTTCAGTTTCTGACTTTGGTATCAATGTGATAAACGCTTCCTTCCACGAATCCGGTGCCCTCTTCCCCTCCATAATTTCATTGCTAACCTCCATCAAGGGTTGTATCAAATAGTCTTTTAGTGTCTTGTAATACTTGGAGGTCAGCCCGTCTGGCCCTGGAGATTTGCCAAGTTGCATGTTCTGAATAGCTTGTTCAATCTCCTGTCGTGTTATTTTAGAGTTCAGGATTGTCCTATTTTCTTGTGACAGTTTAGATAATCCATTTTTGGCAAAAATTGTTTAATCTCAACTTCGTCTTGCGGCCCTTGGGTATATAATTTTTAAAATATCTCTGGAAACACTTTCTAATGTCCACTGGATTCTGAATGTTTCTTCCATCAACCTCTAAATTTGTAACCGTGTTTAATCTTTGTCTTCTCTTCAACTGCCAGGATAGCAGTTTTCCACATTTATTCGCCGACTCAAACGTTTTTGTTTCATTAATTTGATCTTCCATTCAATTTCCTGATTTATCAATTTAGAATACTGTGTTTGATACAGTTTAATTTCTCTCAGAGTTGGCTGTGACTTTGGATTCACTCTTAATTTCTTCTCTAATTCTTTTATTTTATCCAAAATCTTGTCTTTTTTCTCATTTTGTGTTTTTTTCTTTACTACATTCTGTTGTATCAGGAATCCCCTCATGACGGCTTTGCTTGCGTCCCAGACGATTCTTTTTCCACCGAATTGTTCATATTTATCTCAAAATAATCTTTCAAAACTTTTTGGGCCTTCTTGGTAATTTCCTGATCTCTAAACAAATTGTCATTCATCTTCCATCTAAAGGATCCA